TAGTCGTCCTAGGGTCGGGGCCAGGGGGCGAGGCGGCGGCGGTGCAGGCGGCACGCCTGGGGGCCTCAGTGGCGGTGGTGGAGATCAAGAAGAGCTTCGGAGGGCCGACGGGGCTGACGTCCAAGGCCGTGAGGGAGGCGGCCAAGCAGATCAACCAGGCCGTCACGAACGTGAGCTCTTGTGGTGGCGACCGTAGTAGTGGTGGTGGCGGCGGCGGTGGTGGTGGTTAGTAGAGCTCTTGTTGGTGCAGCTGCTGTCATCGTCATCATCAGTGTCAATTGGGGGTGGTAGTCTCCAGTTCGGCATACGAGATGTCACATTCTTTTAGCTCTACCCTTACGACTTCGCCAGTGCACGCCGACGTAGCGCTACCCACGGCACAATGGCCTTGCGTTGATCGGTGGTGTTTCAGGTTAGGAGGGTTAGGGAATAGGGAAAAAGAAACGGGATGCAACAAACATGTGCGGAAAAGATTCCTGCCGATTCAACCATTGTTTTTTACGACAAAAGTGGTCCGCATCCCTGGTGGTGATGTCATGGCGGTCCGAAGAGAGGCCTCAGAGGAAGATCACCAAAATGGTGGAGGGAGCTGTTGGAAATCGCCGCAGTCTTGGCGTTCTGTTGTTGTTGTTGTTGTTGTCGTTGTTGTCGTTGGTTGTTGTTGTTGCCATTGTTGTTGTTGTTGCACTTGTTGTGTCGGTGTCGGCGCGGGTGGAAGAGACGTGACGGAGTAGTTCGACCAGGCCTTTCCCCTCCCCTTCTTTATGGGAAAACCTCGTCGTGTGGTTTTCTTGGGGGAGCGGCTTGAGTTGTTCATGGTTGCCACTACCTTGTCGTCACGGTTATTTTGTTTGTTTTGATGCGGCCGCGGCGGCGGCGGCGGCAGGTGGGAGGCGACAAACGAAGGCAGACGCGCAGAATGTGGAAGCTCCGGTTTCCCGCACTTCGAGCCCAGGCTGAAGTTCTGCAGGTAGGCAGGACGCCGGCGAGGGCAACACCTTTTCCAACGCGTAGGGAACCACGACCGCTGCCATTTGTTTTGTAGGGAATACGACGGCGAGAGTGACAACGATAAGCCATCGAGACGCTCAAAGCAGTCGTGCATGCGAAACGTATGCTGCTGCTGCTGCTGCTGCTGCTGCTGCTGCTGCTGCTGCTCGAAGCCGAGGCTCGTGTGGTGTGTGGCTGGAAAGAAGTAATGTCCGCTCACGTTTCCTGCACGACCCGCACCTACGAAACCTACCCGGCTGGCGAGAGAGGCAAGGTGTGTCGATGCCCGGTAATGGCCTTTGCCCCGTCGCCCTTTTTTGCACCGCGAAAGAAAGGCGGCGGAAACACGCGACCGTCTGGCCAAGAACCTGATCGATCTCTACATCGGAGAGGCCGAGATCCTGCCGCAGAGCAAGAGGCCGAAGGAAGAGCGGCAGAACGGGGAGATTGCCGTCCGAGTCTGTCGCCCCAAGGCCTGCATCGACATACCGGCGCACTACGTGTGTGTCGCAACGGGGTCTCGGTGAGAGGGGGGGGGGGGGTACCCATAATCCTGCATGCCCTAATCCTCAAAACATTGACCTCCCATCCCTACAAAACCCGGACGGAACACGCCCGGTTCTCACCGGACCAGGGTCTCACATCACCAAGCGCAAAGCGCGTGAGGTAATCGGCGAGTGCATGAAGGGTGCGCTGCATCCTGCTAAGGGTGTTGGGCATCTTGTGCTTACTTCCTTGCGTACGGATGACAGCTGCGAATAGCTTGATTAGGTGGGGGGGGGGAGGGGGGTATTCACGCCAACGCGTGCCTTAGCTGTTGGACCATTGACCACGAGTCCTCTAGCGGGCGGAACTGGGGGGGAGGACTCTCATGCAAACGCATGCCGTAGTCGATAGACTTTGCATCCCTACAATGATGCCGGTTCTCGCCCGCCCAGGCTGCTACTTTTCAAAAGGATGAACCAGTGGTCTGGTATGACCCTTGTGCTTACTGTGCCAAAACCAGACATGCCATCGGTTGATTAGGCATCCCGGTTTCCAGTTTCACACACGTTTCACACTTCAGGTACTGCAAGGGGCTTCGATCTTTGCGCAGGGGGGGGGGGTATCGTGGAGTGGCTTTTGAACAACATTCCCATCTTCCCAATGTCTGCTGAGGATGATATTCCCTCTTTTTCACGATTTTACAATCTTGTCAAATTTTGACGCAGGCCTAACCGGCCACCCAAGATGAGATCGGGATCGCGGCTCCCTTTCATGAAGGGCGTGGTGGTAGACGCTACCGAGATGGGCACGATCACCGACCTCCCCAACGCGTGCGCGATCATCGGGGGAGGCGTCATAGCGGTGGAGTACGCCAATGTCCTCGCTGGGCTGGGGGTCGGAGTGTCCCTTCTTTGCAAAGACGAGGTGAGTTAAATCGAGGTTCGGCCGGATCGTTTGCTTTTTTTGTTGTTTTGTGCCTTGCTGTGTGGTACGTGCGCAGCAGTAGCTTTTTCACCGTTGACCTTAGAAATACGGTTGATACAGGACGATTTGCGAACTTGAATAGGCACTGACCGGTGCTTGATGAGTCGCAGGGGTTAGAGCTCCTGGGCAGTGCTTGTTGATGCGTTGGAAGCGAGAAATGCATGCGACTCTTGACTGCCGAAAACGCTGCTTTTTCGTTGCTGCTTGGCATGCTGCTGCTTTTGCTGCGGCTGCTTGACATGTTGATGCTTGTGGTGCTGCTGCTTGCTGTTCTGCCGGTGCTGCTATCGGCTGCCGGTCGCTTGTCAAATAAAAATAAAAAGGAATTCATGCCCTTCCTTTCGGAGGAGCTTCGGGTGGAGCTCAAGCAACGCATGGTGAGGGAGGGTGACGAGAGGCGACATAAACACCAGGATGAAAACGTATTTTTTCACCTCGTTGTGCGCGTTCAGTGCGCACGGTTGTGGTATTTTTGTTTTTTGCCTTCCTTTTCCTTTCAGTACCCGCGCAAATGTGTGCACTAGTTAGTCGATCGTCGAAATGCCCACGCCATGACTGAAAAGGTTGTCGAGAGATGACCCGATGGCGCGAATGAGTGTGGTATTCAATTCAAGCCTCTCTCAGCTGGGGGGTAATTTGTCGTGTGCCATGGGCAGCGTCACCAGCTGTTTCTGTGCTTGTTGTGCCTTGATTGTTGGAGTCCAAGCCACGTTGCTGTCACCGTTGACTCATCCTCCTCGTTGGGTACCCTGTACAGCAAGCAGAAGTATTCTTGCTGACAGTCTTTTTTGCTGCGCAGTTTTTTTGTTTTGTTTTTCGTGTGGTTATTTTTTTCTGCTTTTTTGTGGTCCACTCGTTAACGCTTGTTTTCATTTTGTGTCTTTTACGTTCAAGGATGACGTGGTTCTTGTCTATTCCTATGCGTCCTGGCCACGCAACACATATCGTTCTTAGCACATTTTTTTTGTTTGTGCAGATTCGAAAACTTCTCCTCTCTCTCTCTGCCGGTGCGTGAGCCGCTCCCTCATTGAACCCTGTTTGTTTTGGGCAGATTCGGGACAAGGTTTTGTTTGTCCCTGCCCCCATCAAGCGGATCGACATCGTCGCGACAAAGCAACATGGTCCTCGTACAGCTGGAGAAAATGGAACGACAGGCAAGTGGGAGAATCGCGGCGCGGGTTGCATACGTCAACCGCGACCGGGGGGGTTAGTTGCATACCATCACTCTAGTAGAGTTTTGTGGTGGAGGTCGTGGTAGGTTCAAGATTCAAGATAACGTATATACTTGCAGTTTTTTGCAGAAACGCCAGATCGAATAGAACAACACCAGCAACAACGTTACAACACCAGAACAGCAACAACAGCAGTGCACGGGTCCTGTCTATAAAGTGGAAGCTGGAACGGTTTGCTTTGCGCTTTCGCGGTTCACGTAGTCGTGACGGTTTCGACATGATGCACGGTGATGAAGCCTGCTTTGCTCCAACAAAAAGTCGTCTACTGTCAACACCTCTTCAAACGGGCAGCCCCCCCCCCCCCCGCGCCCGTACCACCTAAACGACGTTCAGTTGGAAAGTAAAGAGAAAAAGTCGTCATCAGCAGGTGGCTTCGATCTTAGCAGCTGGCCTGCGGCGACTATTCCAGGGAAACAAGAAAAAAGGTCAAAGTGGCAACAGCAAGAACAACAACAGCAACAGCAACAACAATGAGAATACTTCGTCGCCCCCTCCTGCAACTACCGCCGCCGCCGCCGCCGCCGCCCGCGCGCCCCCGCAGCCGCGACGCTTGCGGGTGGACCTGGTGCTGTACAGCGGAGGACGCGACGCCAACACCGAGACCCTCGGCTGCGATGCCGCGGGTGTGGACCTGGCTCGGTACGGCAGGGTCAAGGTGAGCCAGTGGCGAAAAAAACGCTTCAAGTATGAGATAGGGCGTCTGGGTCGGTATGGCCGAATCGATTTGAGTCAGTCGCATGAAAACCTGAAGTGCATAAGACGTGTGTTAGTCGGTCCATGAGTTGGTCCGGCTATGCTTAGATAAAAAAAAACACACACATGCTAGTAATTAAGATACACAAGCAAGTAGGCGTGAATGGGAAGGCATTCCTGTGCGCTATTTTCTTCTTAGTTCTCGCTGTAAGACTAACACTGCGGTGTCCTTTGATTGGTCTGCAGATTGTGTGCGGTCGACGCTAGTTAACGGGAAGCACCCAACGACACACACACACGAGAAAGCGCCGCTTTCGTGCGTTTGTCTCCCGTCAGACTGGAACCCCCGCTGTTTTGTCGGTCGGCGTGATATCGCTATCGCCGTCGATGCCGATCGAACGAAGTAGCAACACGCAGACCTGCTGGGTCTTCTGAGGGAACGGAACGGTGCTCCTCGTTGAAAAGCACGCCTCACCAAGCAACACCCCCACCCCTGCCCCCACCCCCCAACATGGTCTGTCACAATTGGCATGGTCCGTTCTTGGGCGTGCCTAGGCCTGTTGCGAATACGCCTCGGGACAAGCACCGCCATCCGCTATGGGTGTTCGGGACGCCCCCCTGTGCCCCCCGTAAGGAATCGCGTGATTTTTTTCCCCTGCCTCTGTCTGCCCTGTCACGTCGCCGTCAAATGGATCGCCATCAGACGTTGTGAAGTGGCTGTTCGTCGCTTTCGATGGCCACCGTCAACGAAAATAATGGCATGGTTGAAAACAACAAGCAGTGCCAGACAAGAACGAAAACCAAAACCAAAAAAATGATGGTATACCAATAACATCATCATCATCATCATCAACAACAACAACAACAACAACAACAACAACAACAACAGGTGGATGGATCTTTCCGGACGTCGAACCCACGGGTGTACGCGATCGGGGACGTCACGGGGCCCCCTGGGCTCGCGTCCTCAGCGCAGATGGGAGGCCGTGCGGTGGCGACCTACCTGTTCAACGACAAGATGCAAAAGCTGAAGCAGTTCATGCTGGAGACCTCCACCGAGATGGAGGTGAGGATCCGGACAACTTTGTTGCGATAGGAGGAGGAGGAATGATGGAAGAAAAGCTAGCTCGTCGTTCTCTGGTGTGATTTTTTTTTTGGTGCGTCGCTGATTGTGATGCTGGGGGGGTAGAAGAGAGGCTAAAAACCATCTTGGGCCCGACAAGACTTTTCGAGCCGTGAGCCGCCATATAGTGGTTGTGTGTTCGAGCGTCGTATGGACACGGGACCGAGGTCAAGGGGTTTATACCGCATCGAACGTGTGTGCGGGAGCATCTTTGCCTTGGTTTAGAGGAAATGTTATGGCGACAATTTTTCACGATCTGTCCGTCCGCATGCACTGCTGCCTACCTGTTCATCTCTGTCTCTGTCTCCGTCCCCCCTCCCTCCCCCCTCTGGAATGTAAGGATGTCGTGGATGACCCCTTCTTCGCAGCAGAAGCCGAATCCGCCTCGGGCGCTCAGCGCACGAGCGAGCAGCTGCAGCAGTACGAGCAGACCGCCATGCTTGGCAGCGACGATTCGATGGCCGACGCGGCGGGGGGGGCGGAGGGGGAGTCGCTGTTCGAGAGGGTGGCCGGGGCGCCGCTTACTCTGTGGACGATCCCGGAGATCTCTTCTGTGGGTCTGACAGAGGAGCAGGCGTTCGCCGAGGGGATGAGGAAGGCGTCGCAGGGGGGCTCCATGTGAGTCGGTGGTGGTGTTGGTGGATGTTGTGTTGTTGTTGTTGTTGTTGTTGTTGGTAGGTGTTGTGGTGGATGGTGCTGGTGGCGATGGTGGTGGTGCCGGTGTTGCTTTCGTTCGGCACCACACCCAGCAAACGAGGGAGATGTTCCCTCCAAAGTCTTGTTTGTTTTTTGTTTGGATCAAATCAGAACCCAGACACTTGTACGTCCGAGCGATGGCATTCACGAGGAAACTCGTACACGTCACCCCCGATCCCCGTACTGCTGTACCCGGAGGTGGTTTGGACGGGCGACTTCCTTCCCCCTTTTTGACAATCCGCCACTTCTGTTTTTTTTGTGTGTTTTTTTGCAGGGTGACCGGGTACGCGTATTTCAAGGACATCGCGAGGGGAAGGCTGAGCGGAGGGGACGCGGCGGGATTCCTGAAGCTAGTGGCCAGGGCGGACGGGCCGACTCGGCACGTCGTCGTCGGCGTGCAGATCATCGGTGAGCGTGTTGTCGCCAAACGAGGTGGCTTTCCGCGCAGGAGAACACACGCCGTTGCTTCTACAGATTACCACCGCTGTTGTGCTCGAACGCACGGCACTGCTATCTTCGCAGATTCACCAAGATCCTGAACCGCATAACGAAGGAGTTATGTCGAGGTGGTCGGCGTTAGGTCTGCTGGCTGGAGGTCAGAAGTCGTTTGGCATGGAAGCACCAGCTACGGTAGCAGCAGCAACAATCACCACCACCACCTACATTTAATGTACGCATAAATCGTTTCTATTGTACCCTTTTTTGTTTTGTTTGATTTTGCAGGGGAGGGAGCCAACGAGCTGATCCAGATGGGCAGCATCCTCATCCAGAGCAAGTCTTCCCTGGAGGAGGTATGCGAGGACTTTCAACTGGTACTGGGTTGTTTTACGTTGTTACGTTTAAGCCTAGTACCCCATCTTAACGAAGTCCCACACAGATCATTCGCGAACAGAGTCTCGTGTAAATATTTACGACTCCCCAACGTACTCTTCCCTATGTGTGGACTATTGTACCTTTGTGTGCCTCCCGCATGGCAACGACGACATGCCAGATGTGCGACTACGATGGCTGTACGCATAGACTACAGCAGTCCGACTTGCCTCCCGGGTGCTAACGCTGTCGGGCTTGTTGTGGCGGGATTTCCCCCGGCGAGCGCGGTCTTGTTGTTCTGCAGACGGATATTCCGTGTGAGCCGAGGACGGACGATTGGTCCCCAACGTACCGGAAGTAATGGTTGGAAGATGCACCACCATTTAACTCTTTCACTATTTAGTTGTACAAATGTCAGTGGCTTCCGTTTCAACCTCTCCTGGGGACGTGCACCCCAGGGGTACTCCACTTTCTTCCCACGGTATAGCAGCAGCGCGACACAAACACGTGACTTGTAGTGTGGCAAAGTTTAGTTTTCGAGGGGTTGATGGTGGGTCACGGTGCCAAGAGGTGGGCGAGCTGCGCACCATGGGCCCGTCTCTCCCTTTCTCTCTCTCTCTCTCTCTCTCTCTCTCTCTCTCTCTCTCTCTCTTGGGTCAGATCGTGGCACGGCAACAACAGTTGCGGCGAGAGTTGTGCCAACCTCTCTCT